TCTAACTCAACACCCGCAATTCCTTGCTCCACGGACTCTCCTCTTTTGGTCAGTTATCGCTGACATGGGATAGAATTTGAGCTTGGTGTATCTTAATCAACTGAACTTTTGCGGAGGGGCCCAGCTCCGTGCAGACGGGGTCTCACGGGGCTCCTTGTTTGTATTAGTACATGCAAGCGGTAGTCAGGAAAAATACAGTCCTGGGCAGGGGGATGCCTGAGCAAGCAAGGTGCTGATGGCAGTTACAGCAGGACAGAAGTACTCCAGACTCCAGTAGTTGTCTAAAGTCCCCAAGATCTTTATTTATGAACTGCGTGCTACTGTAGCCAATAAATAACCATGATTACAGTCAGTACTGTATGCTTACAATGCTTCCCGTTTGGTTTTCTTAAAAAAATAACGTACAACAAAATTACTGAGGAGAAAACTGCCCTTTTTGGGTGTGATGAAGCTGGATTAAAATATTCACAGCAGAGGGGTTTTGTGATGGGGGATAGCATTGCAGGTTTAGAGCAGATGAGATTTAGGACCCTCCCCAAGGCGTTGGCTGAATGTGATGCTTGTGTTACCCAGCTGATTCCTTGGGCAAAGATACGAGTGTCTCCCATTCAGGGCACAACACTTAACATGTCCTGCTGCAGGTGTAAGCTGTTCCCGATTCAGAGTCATACAGCTGAGTGCTGAATTTAGCCCAGACAGCCTAAAACCAGAAGCTCAATCTTCAGTCTGCCAGTTCAGTAGTACTGGGTAGGAGATTGTTTTATGTTAAATAGGAATAAATCAGAACTCTTCTCACTTGGGAGTCTCAAAGCATTTCACCTTGTTGCATACTCCTTACAGCACCCTCGTCAGGTTGGTTTTTACTACTGGCAGGTAGGACGGACCCTGTGAACTTTGACTTTCCTTAGGAGCTGTTGCTGTGCTGAGAACAAAACCCATGGCTCTTGGCTCATCCCTGGAAGTACATCTCTAAAGGAGATCCTCAGAACAATTAAATGTAGGGAATTCTTAATGAGGTGGGAAATTGATTTGCAACTTAATGCAGTAGTGTAAACCCAATAAACTCTGTTAAGATGTTGAAATCCAAGTTTTCTCCCCCCATCTCTGAACACCCTTCCTTTTCAACCCCTGTGCTACTTTTTGGGAAGCTCCAACTTGCTTTACAGTAGGCTTCTTCCACCTATTTTTCTCCTTTTGGTGGCTGTGGCTGGGCTTTATATGTGGGATTTTATAGCCTGGGTAATATTTAACTAGGTACAAATGCGGCATTTGAACGTGCAGATCCTTTTCTGTGGGTCACCTAACGCCCCGGTAAATAAAAGAGCTGAATGAGCTGCCCAAGACAAGGCAGTTTTTGTCTTAACATGGCTTGTGTCTATTCAAAAACAGAGCTGTCTTGTCTGGAGCGGGGTTTAGCCTGTAACCGTCTGGGCCTGAACTTGGCCTTTCTCAAAACCCAAGGTGTTTCCCTGCGCTTGCCTGTCACGTTTCGTAACGTGCCCCTATCTCTTCTGCCCTGCAGCTTTGGACTATCAGTGAATTCCCCCAAAATTTTCAAAAAAATCTGCAGCAAGTAGTGAAATAATTGCTTGGAGCCGCAGATGGAGTCAGTGCTGGGATTAGAGCAAGTGGTTGTAAGGCCACTGTGGTTATCACTAGGTTGTACCTCTTTGCTTCTGTGTTTAATCCTTAAAACGTTGCAAAGGCTGAGCTGTGTTTTGAGTTAAAATGCATGCTGATGAAACTGTATGTAGCCATGATTTACCTTTCCAAGAAAGAGGCATAGCCTGAATTCAGGTTGGAGACATTTAACTTTCAAGGGGATCTGCTTGTCACTTGGAGGCTTTAGAAAACACTGTCCCATCAGTTTTACAAATTGGAGTGTATTCAGTGCAGAGCAGTGCTAACTGGGTCATTTAAAATCCAACTCATGTAGCTTTTCACTTACATAAAACGTGCCTGCGGTCTGGTTTATCACAGATGTGTGTGGAAAATGCATTAACCTTCCCAGGGAAACGTGGTATAAACCCCAGTGTCGTTGCAGCGTTTAGGGACTGTTTTTTCCATGCCATAAAGTGTCTCGCTTTCCAACGCTGTAAAGTTCAGTGAAACAGAGAAAGCCACTGGTGTTGCCAGGCACACGGGGAAGCGTCTGTTGAGCCGGAGTTTGGGTGGGAGACGTAGCATCGCCGGCGTGGGCGGACCTAGGCGGATGCTGAGCCTCAGCCGATGTCACAGGAGTGCCGTGCTCTGCTTGGCTCACTTGTGAGAGTCCATCCAGCACGGGGTCCATCAAGGCACGTTCTTCTTAGCGTGAGGTGTCTGGTGTGCACCCCCTGAAGGGCCTTAGCTGTGTCCGTGGGCACGCAGGCGTAGCAGCCCCTTGGGAGAGGCTGTGGAGTCTCCTCTGGAGAACCCTCCCGGATGCATTCCTGGCCAGCCTGCTCAAGGTGAACCTGCTTCGGCAGTGGGGCTGGACTAGATGTTCTCCGAAGGTCCCTTCCAGCCCTGACCAGCCTGTGATCCTGCCCTGGATGGAGATGCGCCATGGGGCGAACACAGCTGGCCTCACACGGGCTGTGCCTGAAACCAGCATGAGCCTGGTCCCTGCAGCTGGGCTCTGCACCGGAGCAGCAGTCCTGCTCGGCAGTTCCTCCTCAGGAGTGCCGCAAGGTTCTTCAGCACGAGGGACTTCTGTTCCGCTCCCCCCTTGCAGCGTGCTGGCTGCTCCGCAGGGTTGGACCTCGGGTGCCTCCGGCCTCTGCACCTCCGGTCGGTGAAGGCCCTGGGCACGTCATTGATCCTTGCTGCTTTCGTTTGCTCCTCTCCTGGATCAGGGCTGCAGTGGGTGTCATCCAGCAGTGCTCCGAAGCTCCATAGGTCTGGTTCATGCCTCCTATATACTGTCATTATGGCTGCTGCCAGTTCTGCGTATCGGTCAGGAAAATGTTGCCCAAGCCTTAATTTGCTTTGCTTTTGAGCTAACACTGAATTCCTAATTCTCCTTTCATCCCATCTTTCCTGGGAGAAAGGCTGAAGACCCAGCAAGATGGAGGTGATAACAAAAAGGCTGAATTAACAACATAAAATATTTTGCCGAACAAAGCTTGCAGGCATCAATAAAAATATTTTAAAATCTTCAAGAACATAAATCATACAAAAATAGAATTTATATTTAGCTGTTGTCTCGACCTGCTAGAAGGGACTGAGGGGGTAATTCATGGAGAGCTGCAGGGGGACACGGAGGAAGCTCGGGCCAGGCTGGGGGGTGACTGTACCTGCCTTCGCTGCCTCGGTCTGCCATGCCTCAGTGGGAGCTGTGGTCCTCTTTTTTCCCACTTTATCCCAGGTGTTGTTTGTAGTGGGAACAGTGAGGGGCCCTTTCTTTTCGCTGCAGCTGTGCTCTAAATGTTTAGACTCTGTCATTAAGCTTGTTTTTCTTAAAACTTTTCTCTTGTTTGCTAAACACGTAAGAGTCCTTCTTCCTCAGGCCAGAGCCTCGCTGTGGATGGACCTACTGGTTCATCCCATGGAGGAACCCACTGGTGCATTTACCTCCTTGTTTCCAGGGTAGGCCAGATGCGAAAAAACTCGTGATGGGGTACTGTGGCTATAGACAATAAGCGTAACTCCAGGAGGCCAGGGATTTGTGCAAGTAATCTCTCAAATGCTCACTAAGGCCTAGGAATTGGCAGTTTTAAAATGATTGGCAAGGGCAAGGAATTGGCATCTCGTGCAGAAACTGCTTGGCCGTGCCTTGCCATTGCACAGTCCTGTACGAGTGGCCCTTTGGTCAGCTGCTTTACCAGGAGACAGGGAGGTTTTGATATGCAACATCCGTTCCCAACTGCTTTCGTTCGTGATGCACCTCAACATCCCTGGACTTTGGGGTATCGGCCCTCCCGTTTATATGGGCTGTGGACCTCAAAACCGGGCTGACTTCTTGGGTGCATCTAAATTTTGCAATCCCGAGTCGAGACTGGTAATTTAGCTGGATGGAACTGTTTGAGTAGGGTGATGCATGAGTCCAGATTTTCCTTGTTGCCCCAGCGATGGCTTCCTCGAGTCTCCAGTTCTCGGTTACATTGTGTAATATTCCTTTTTCTTCCTCCTTTAAGACCCTCTCTCTATTGAAATTGGTTATGTTGACATCTCCATTAGGCAGAACTACCTCTCCAAATTAGTGGATGCTAGAAAAGTATCTCCTTTTCTCTTACCCCTTCTCCTCCCAAACAAAAAGGAAAGAAGCAAACAGGATAACAAAACCACCCCAAAAGCGTGTGGAATATGGATTAACATTGAACGTTGCACCTCACGGCGTCACGGTGGATACAAACAATAGGCTGGGGTTGCAAGGTAACACCAGTGTCGTACAAAAGCTTTTCACAATCTAAACTCTCTGTTCACCCATCTTCAGGATGGGGCAGAGATCAATCTCTCTTGTGGCTTTATCTCCTTGGGCTGGCTGCTGCAGAATTTGGCTCGTATTATGGGGAGGCACGGGTGGAAATCCCGTCCCATAATTAGTTAGAGATGGCTGTGACCGGGATTGGTATGGAACATGCTGATCCCTGTGAAATCCTCAGTCCCCGTCCTCCCCTCCCCAAAATTCACCGTACATATTTAAAAAAGGAAAAAAAGAAGTCAAGTTTAGCAGTCTGGTTATTTTAGTACATGGCTTGATAAGGCAGAAAACCTACTGGATACAGTGTGTGGGGCAGTTGGCGGTCAGAATTCAGGTAGAATTCTTCTTTTCACTCATTTCTTTTAAAAAAAAGTTTTAATTGGTTAAAGACCCATGTCTTGTATGAAAGCTTAGGTTCTTCCAAAACAACAACACCAAAAAAAGCTGTTTCTTCCTCCCTTCAAACGTCGTCAACTACTTTCTCCGTAACGCTGCTGCGGTACAAACTTGAAGCTGCAGCAGCCGAGTGTGAAGTAGTTCTCCCACTGGCTTGGGAGGAAGCGTGTCCGGGAGTCCTCTGCGGCGCTGGCCATCGTCAGAGCTCCAGGTAGCTGATCAGGGCCACCATCGCTAGAGAGTTAGTTGTGATAATGACAGCGTGCGGCACTGGCCTCGTCACAGAGTCTTCCACCATCATACTTGTCCCTGAAAGAAAGGGAGCAGGGAAGGAGCGACCGTCTCCTTGCACAGACACAACCTGATGTCTTGTGGAAAGAGTCAGGAGGGTTGGTAAAATGTCAGTTCTGGGTTCTGTGTGCTCATATTGCATTTATCTCTGATGAACCTCCCAGGGTTTGAAACAAGAATTTGGAGCTGGGCCCTAAGTACCGTGAATCAAGGAGTTGGTGTCGGGGCCCTACAGAGTCGGGATTTCATTCTTAGTGAGTGTAAGTTGGGCTTGTGTGGGGGCTCGAGAGCTTCAGCTGCACGTAAAGGTGGGCTCAGACCAGACTGAAAGGTTGCTCAGAGCCTGGGGTGAGGTGAGCTGATGGAGGGCTGGACGGGGATACATTGAGTGAATGGCACAAGGGAGCCAGAGACCAGTTCCAGACACTCACCCTAAACCAGTGGGGTATCACATTCCCCCACGTCCCAGAAGGGAGAGTGGGATTTTAAAATGTATTTGCTATGATGCCATGCTATGGCCAGGTAGGGGAGGAGCTAGGACTAAGTCATTTCCTGATCAGAGAACAAATGACAGGCAAGTAGCCCTGAAAATTAACCCCTCTGAGCTCATTTGCCAGTGTTCTCTGCAGTACCCTTGGTGCATGCAGGCAGAGGAGTGTGCGTACCACTGTTTCGGAGGATGTGAACCTCTGCTGGGATTCCATCTCCCCCGGGGCCCGTCACCCTGATCTGTACGAAGGCGTGAGTGAAGTCTTCAGGGATGGGGATGTCGATCCGGCTCTTGCTGGCCAGGTAGAGTGTGGGAGCAGAGTGGGAATCCTGCCTGTAAAGCATCTGTTGGAAGAGGCAAGTTTGAATTTACGGTCACTGTGATTTCCTTAGGTCACCTGTAAGAGAAAGCCAGCTACGTGCTGCCTGTACCTTGTACCCCGTAACTGCAGACTCGTCTGCCTTCGCCACCACTGGGTCCCACTTGATGCTGACTGTAGATCCAGAAAAAGTCCAGGAGATGTTGCCAGGTGGCCTCTTTGGTGCTGAGAGATACAAAACAAGACAGATTCAGTAAGTCAGGGACCAACGTGACGGTTGTGCTGGTTACGACTGTCTCCTGAGACTCTAGATTGTCAGCAGGGCTGATGGCACCACCGTGGTTGGTGAAAAGGGGAGTGGGTCAGCAAACATTGCTCTGAGCACAGGCCTTCTCAGCTAAGCCATGCACAGGATTGATACACAGGAGGAAATTCAGGGGACTATTTTATGAACTACTTAAAACAGCGTTAGGGCACCGAGATCAAAAAGCTAATCGGTTAGCTGGGCACTGGGGATCCTTGGAGGAAGCAGCAGCCCCAGGATGTCCAGCGTGCATGACGGAGGAGGTCAGGGCTCACTCACGTGGCTTGGTTGTCGTGACGTTGGTAGAGGGACTGGGGGGGCCGGTTCCAGCCCGGTTGTAAGCTCTGACGGACACGTGGTATTTCGTGTTGGGGTTGAGGCCTGTTACGTGAGCCGAGGTGACCAGTCCTGCTGTTCTCACTCTGTCGGCTGCCTCCTCTTTATCACCATCCTTCCAGTACCGGATCTGAATAGAGAAGGGTATCGTGGGTTTAGTAAGGATAGAGGCGCCTGCACATACCAGGCTCAGTCCATCCACACCCAGCACTGGACACCCTTTGGTATTTGTTTCTGTGCATTTTCCTTAGTATCTGCCCAGGAATAAAACTACAGCTTGTGTGGAAAGGCAAGCAGAAAAAAAGCCAGAATGTTTCTCTCTTACTGATCTCTCTTGTGACCAGTAGTACTGGCCCTATTAGAGTCTCGTGCATTAATTATCCTTCGTCTTTGGAAACAACACGCTGTTTCCTTTCACCTCCCTTAGCCTGGGGGAATTCTCTTTGCTGGGCTCTCCAGTCTCAGTTTCAGTGTCTCCCATTGCAGGCTTGTACCTCGTAGCCCAAAAGCACTCCAGTCATGTCTCCCTGCTCAACGGGCTCCCAGGACACATCCATTTCTGAGGACAGAGCAGCCTTGGCCATAACTCTGAAAGGAGCCACTTTCGGTTCTGAAAAACACAACAAAGGGGAATAAAATCCTTTTCCTCGCTCCGGGCAGCTTAATTGCCGTACTGAAACGAAGGGCTCTCCTGCAGCACCATTGCTGTGCAGCCAGACAGCTGGTATTATGTGTACGGAGCAAAGCGAGGGGCAGGGATTTAGGGACTTAGTAGGACAAGCAGGGCCACAGCTGTGGGCTGTCAGGGTCTGCGTCTGCTTGGAAGCCCTGGGTGTAGAGTCACGGCTGGGCTTAGGGGAACAGCTATCTGTGTGTTTGAAGTAGGAGATAAATGTTATGCCGAAATCGCTGAGTAAAAGCAAGCTCTGCTGTCGTTGAGCTCCCAGACAGAGACAGCTCTGCAGGGAGCTGGCTGGGGGGGACACAGGTTGGTTGGGCAAAGCACGGTGAATTCAGCCGCTGCGCTCCCCCTTTACCTTCTTCTGCAGAGTACACGATGGCGGTGAGGCTCTCGGGGCCCTCTCCTTTCCGGTTGTACGCTTTGATCTTCACTTCGAAGGGGGTGTAGGGACCGATGCTCTCGTTGCGGTAGACGTAGTGCAGCGATTCTGCGTGCGGCACCCTTGCTGTCAGCCACCCCTGGGTGCCTTTCTTGCGGAACGACAAGATGTAGCCAAAGCCATCCCCGTTCTGGTAGTCCCGCAGCGTTGGCTGTGAGGGGGGCAGAAGGAGAGAGGAGCCTTGGTCAGTTCAAACGAGCGAGACTTTGGACTTAAGCACAGGGTTTGGCTCAACCCCGTATCAGAATTGTGATTGCCACGCTCATTTCCCAAGACAAACGGCACGTGCTCCTCCCTTTGGCCCTCTCCCAGCGTCCACGGCTGGTGCCGTGCTGCCAACTTACCGTCCAGTTGATGATCAGCTCGTTGGGAGCCCCTCCGCCTCCGCTGAGCCCAGATGGTGCCACAGTGGGTGCTGTCAGGTCCCCAAACAGAAGCAGACAGCACAGGTTGGGTTAAGGGAGTCACAGTGGTGAGTTACCTCTCTGTTTTCAGCCGTGATGAGCGCAGACAGTGCGCGATCTGACAGCTTTGACAGCTCGTATCAAAGGGTTTGCCTCTCTGTTTTCAGCCGTGAGTATTTCAGATGTTTGTGAAAATCGGGGCTAGAATACTGGCTACTGCCTGACGAGCTTATTCGGAGGCAGCCTGTCTCTGAGGGGGCAAGAATCAAGCTCAAAAGCAGGGATATGGAGGAGAGCTGTGTTGGAAAGGAGTTAATACACATTTGGCATGTTGAGAGCAGTTCCCCTGCTGTTCTTACATCCCTTCTGCTTGCACGTTCCAGCAGCAGAAGATAGGATGAACATTCACAGCCATTTCCTGGGACATTTACTTTGTCGTTACAGAACTGGGCTCTGTGATATAACAGGGCTCTTTCCCCTTTCTTTTACTGCCCAGAAGGTGCAGGATTTGAAGCTAGGATTTGTAATGGCTTAATATATTGTATCTCATGCTGGAGTTAGCTGCCAGCTCGACTACTGCTCTGTCTTTGACATGTAAATGGGCAAAAAGGGAGAAAATTTTGTGATGGCATCACCTTCAGGAGCACTAACTGTTTGGGACCAAGGCATGCTGCAAGCCAGCCGTCCCCCTCCAGCATGTAGGGACAGGTAACTCCGATTCCCCTTTCTGCCTCCGAGCATATCTGCACGTACCTGCTTCTTTGGTACGGATTTTGCTGGAGGGTAAACTTGGCTCCCCGACTCCAAGAATGTTACTTGCTACCACCCGAAACTCATAATCCATCCAAGGAATGAGGTTCACCACCTGGGCTGTCTCTGCGTTGCCTTCAATATTTACAGGATCTATATAATCCAATAACACGAGAGGAGAACAAATAGAGCGAGTGGCAGCCAGCGTACGAGCACGGAGCTGGTCAGCAAGCTGGTGCGCCGCCGGCAGCACGGGCCATGCCACGGGCCATGCCACCACCCTCGCCATCAAGACACTTACTGGTCCGCATTTGCTTCCATTTGCTGGAGAGGAGGGTCCGTGCCTCGACGATGTACCTGGCAATAGGGCTGTGGTTGTCAAAGCCGCGGCTCCAGCTCAGCTGAACGGTGGTGTCACTGATGTCCCTCACCACCACACCCCCGGGGGGTCCTGGGGGACCTGGGATGATGGGAGACAGACGGAAGTGTTACTGAGATGAAAGATTTGCAGGCTTATTGGTCTTTATATTGTGCGAGTCATAAATCAGGTCTTCCTTTCCTGGAGGCTAGGAACCCTCACCCCCGGTGTTGGCCTCCAGAAAAGCTCAGAAGCCCACCCCACCCAGTGCAAATGGTGAGGCGTCGCAAGGGAAGAACAAGCTGATCCCTTGCAAGGACCATGCCATTACTTCAGGCTTGCAAGGAGCAGGGGACCTGATGACAGAGAAATTACCTCTGACGGTCAGCGTGGCTGACTCCGCAGCACTGTCCACGACTGTCTGGGCTGTACACGTGTACCGCCCCGAGTGCTTCAGCTGCGTGTTGGAGATGCTGAGGTCCCCGATAGTTTCCTTCTGCAGGAGGAAGAGACAGCGGGGGGGGAGCATTCGAACACGCCTGATCACAATCCAGCATTCAACACGCACACAAAGAGGCTGCTGTTAGTTTTCTCCCCTTTTTGATGGTGCCTAATTGCCCTCTGTACTCACCACGCTGGCTCGCCGGTAGTGCCCCTCCGACTTATCGAAGTCAATGGGGGAATCATCCAGTGACCAGGTGAAGGTTAGGTCCATGGTTGGATCGTGGGATGCGTGGCACTGGAGGGTAAGGTTTTCACCTACGTTGATATCGGCGCTGGACGGTGCCAATGTGATTTTGGTGGCATCTGCAGAGAAAGAGCAGGGAGAGCTGTTAGCTGCAAGTGTCCAGGTACTGGCTGTATATTAATGCTGCAGAGCATCCAAACCAGCTAAGGCTTTCCAACTTGTCATCCCTCTCACAGCTGTATTTTATGGGAGGAAGATGAGGGATGACAGTGGTTAGAAAATGGAAATGTTTTTCTCAAGGACGACTTGTTGGTAGGTATGATTTGGTGGGTCAGGCAGAGGATTTGTTGCATCACAGACTCTGATTCCCTGAGTATTACATTGATTTTTTTGAGTATAAGGAGAGAAGAAATATCACATTGTGCCATTCTTAGATGTTTTTTGCTCAATTGACCCCAAATCAAGGCAAACATCTCTACCTCGAACAGAGAGGATTCCAGTGCTGTTGGCTTTGCCCATGAAATTCTCAGCAAAGCAGGTATACTTTCCCTCATCAGATTTGCTGATGTTCTGGAGGATCAAGGTGCCGTCTGTGGTAATAGTCACCCTGGGAAGGAAAAAGAAAGCATGCAAGAGGAAGGTCAGAATGTCTGTTGGCTCTGAAAAACTGACAGTTTCCAGCACTTGCTGATTTTAGAGAAATTGGTGATAAAGGCAGGACTGCAAAACATTAAGGAGGAGTTTTCTGCGGAAGAAACTAGAGGAATAACAAAGTGCTTATGTTCAGGGATGCTGCAGCACACGTGGCTCGTCAAGTCCACTCTTCTGGCAAGAAAAAACCCCATGATTTTAGCTACGGTTTCTAGGTGGAAGCTGACTCTGTGCTGCTACCTGCTACTGTTGATCAGAAGTTCAGTCCCTTTGGTCCAGAGCACAGTGGCTTTTGGTGCTGCCCTTGGTTGGCATGGGATGATGACCTTCCCACTTCGGGCTGCAGGTATCAGTCTCTTCACGGGGTTTAGTCTAAAATCTGGTGCTAAGGCTACAGGGGGAAAAAAAAAGAGGATTAAGGAGTGATTAGAAAACCCTGCTCTGTGAACATTTGAACTGAAACCTAACTGGGTATTGGTTTGCTGTCAGATGGCTGGTAAGGGAAGCATGGCAGTATCTGGTGAGCGGGATGGAGTGATTCCTCTGCTGCCGGGTGGTTTCTAACGCCTGCCAAGGCAGGTGTCAAGCGACACGCGTGTCGTACGTAGCGATGGGATATGACCCTAACAAGTGCAAGGTCTTTGAGAGACACAAGAACAGCTGCTTCTGAAAATGTAGCGGATATTCTCTTCAATATCCTGATCAAAGTCACCAATGCAGACATCCAGCTTGCCTAAAACTCCTCCTGGAACTGTAGAGAGAGAATTGGGTTTTACCTGTTGCCCTCATGTCGAACAGTTGATGCTTAGGGTCTTTAATTTATCTCTGGCATCCACTGACCACGAGGAGATAAGCTTTTTAGACTCATGTGGAACAAGTTTGGCACCAATCCAGTTCCGGTCACCATCCATCAAAGCTGGATGGATACCGAACTCGTTTCTTTGAGCTCTTTCCTCCAAAAAAGAGGAAGGCTGTGGGGAAGAGAGGTTGTGCTGCTGGCTGGCTGGCTGTCCTGTACACTTTCTGTAGCTAAACAGATGTCCTTGCTCTCTTTCAGCGTCACTGAATTTACACAAGATTTAAATTTTAAAGGGTTGCAGAGTGTCTTGTTGGACCAGTAACTATATTTCAATGGTGAGTGAAGCAGTTTTTGTCTGCTCTTATCTTACTCTGAGATCGCAAGCGTAGGATATTAGGAAGAGATGTAAAACGCTTCAGTGTCCCATTGAAACCCAGAGCACTGGGAAATGAGAAATTACCTTGCACTGTTAATTCAGCACTTGCATATACTGTGCCATGCTTGTTCTCAGCCACACACTGATACATGCCAGAGTCCTCCAGGACTAGCTTGGAAAATCTCAGCTCTCCACCGCTCACTTCGATGCGGTTCTGTGCAAACAAGAGGATGAACCCGTTAGATGAGAAAACCAACAATGGAACTCAAGCCTCGTGTGTTCAGGGTTGAGTTTCATTACGGACTCTTTGCCAGTTTGAAGCCAGCCTGCTTTTCCATAGAAGAAAACACAGGTTGTTTTTTCTGCGTGTCTAGTCACTACCTCGCATCGCTCTGCTCTGTTTGCTGAGGCTTCTGCGTGTCTGAGCAGCAACGTGCAGGTCATACAGAGAGGTACAAGGTGCTATTTGTCCACCCTGGTAACTGGCTATGAGTTCCTGTAGTTGCATGAAGCAATGGCTGGGATGGCAGTGATGGGAGAAGGAGTTTGCCGTCAGTAAGGACTGCGGCATTGCTTTGCAGCCTCATGGGGACACATGGAATAGGGATGCGGGGTGATAAAACGGGGCTGAGATGCATTTGCAGCGAGGCAGGAGGAGGGTCTAAGCCTGGAGTAGCAGGTTCAGTACTGCAGGTTCTGGTGTGCGCTGGCTGAGCTGCTCTTGCTGCCAGACCCACGCGGTGGTACCTGGGAGGTCAGCGGCTGCCCGTCCCGAAGCCATCGGACGGCGGGCCTGGGTTTGCCAGCAGCCGCGCAGCTCCAGCGCAGGTCGGACCCGATGTCGGCTTCCGTGTCTGTGATGACCTTCAGCCACTCCGGCTGAGCTGCAAAGGAGCGAGAGAGGTGGCAGAGCCAAGAAGATCAGATGAGAGGTTTGCCGTGCCAGGCAGGCAGAAGGATGCTCATTGTGTCATCTCTGCTGGCAGATTTATCTATCACAGCGTGTTTCACCCTAGTAACAGCCTTCGCCTTTTGTGCAGCGATGCAAGGCTGAGTCCTCACCCGGCCCGCCTGCAGCTGTGCATGTGGGCTGCACAAGATCATGGCGGAATCCAGATTTGAGGAAGAACACTCTGGGTTTTCTTCTTAAGAGTAAATGCAGTCATCCCTGAACTTCAGGAAAAATTGGATTCAGACTGAGAGAACCAGGTTAAGTTTGACTTGACTAGATCTGGTTAATGGCTCCGAGCATTAACCCATGTGGAAGTACCCCAGGCTCAGTACTTGAGCCAAGTTTGATTTTTACCACTATGCTTCCTTCCCTGTTTACCTCATTTTTCCTAGAATTATTTGAGAGCAAGCTATGAGGTCTTGCTCTACTTGCCATAACCTAAATGTACCCACTGAGGAAAGGCAGCCGTGGCCTCTGCAGGCCTTTGTTAGGGCTCTGCAATAGGTTTAACTGGGGTGAGAGGAGGCAGGAGCAGAGGTGGTGCTTTCCCTTCCGAAGGCTCAGTCCATCGCCTGGCGCATCTCGCCGTGCTCCGGCAAGGCGTGTGCCTAAATGTGTTACCTTGAATGATGATGCGGCCCTGGTAGGTGTCTCTCCCTTTGATGTTTTCAGCCTCACACTCGTAAGTGCCTTCATCCTCAAAGCCAACATCCTGGATCTGCAAGAGGGGCTCGCTGCCGATCCACTTGGAGGACTGTGAGCCGTCCAGCTTCCTCCACTTTATTCGAGGAACAGGGCTAGGTAAAATAAACCTGGTGAGGACCCGCTCTCGGGTACCCCGTGCTGTATGACAGCATTTGTAACTCAGTCCCCGTTTAGCCACCAGCTCCCAGCCTGGGCCTTGGCCAGCAGGACAGATGGCCTCATCCAATTCCTCCCTCCTCCTGTCCCATCTCCATCTCTGGCCTACAGTAGACCCATTGAAGCGAAGGGCTGTGAAAGTTGCAGGTTCTGCGATGCCCTCCCCATCCCGAGCCCTAGCGACACAGTCACTGCACTCACTTTCCAAAGGCGAAACACTCCAAAGTCACCATCTGCCCAGCCAGAGCGTAGGTGTCTGCTGGAAACCTGGCTTTTATGCTGGGTGCGTACTGCCTGGCATCTGTTAAAAGGAAAGCACCATTGAATGACTTCAAAATGGCACACATGAGGCCTTGGAGGGCAGAGGTGCCGCGAGGTTGCACTGTTCTGCAAAACCTCCGTGCGCTGGGATAATTTACAGTTGGCAGAGGCTGAGTTTCATTTTCCTCTTAAAAGAGCTTTCACTAAAGTCTCTAAAAACCTCTTTACAACATCTCAGGACTGTCTCTCCTTCATTTCCTACCTGCTTAAGTCCCTTCACCCTGCCCAAGAAGCATGTAGCTGCACAAATGCAAGGTCTCCAAAGGCAGAGGAGAGTGGTTTCATGGATATGTGAGCCAGCACAGGCTGCACCTTCTGCCAGTTCTCTTTTTACAAAGGAAGAGAAACTCCATGGATGCGGCTGGCACAGGCAGTGAAGCCTGGAGAGAGGGCTGCTTCCCCCGCCTTCCAGCCAATTAATGTTTTTGTAAGCTCTTAAGGTCCCCCGAGACTGGGGGCGATTTGCGCGCTGCTGGAGTCCTGCGGAGCCCAAGTGCTTTGCGGTGGTTTTCTAATTGTGCATTTTGCCCAGTCCCCTTATGAAAACCCAAGAGCACTGACCCTCTGCCGCGAGGCTGAGCCGGGAGAACTTGCTGAAGACGCTCTTGGTGATGAAGTCGATGTGGCTGGTGGCAAAGCACGAATAGTTGCCCAGGTCGGAAGCCTCTGTCTTGGCAATGTAAAGGTTTCCTGTGGTCTGAGAGACAAAACGCCTGCCGTCGGCTGGGATGAAATTGGGAAACTCATTCAGGAGCCATCGATAGGATAAACCTGTGAGGAAAAGGAATAGGAACAAACTGCACAAGTTGCCTGTGACCTCCCAGGAGCGACTGAACCCAGCAGACCCCTGTCTAGACCAGTCTAAGCTGAAGTTGGTCCTTGGATGGTTCTTGTTTTCCCCGTGTGATGAGTCCTCCTTCTGTTTCATTGCTTTATGTCTGAATTATAATTTGCTTCCCTAAAATTCCCAAAGAAAAGCAAGGAGTGCTTCGCACCTCTGGGAATCCCTCGCTCTGTTGCACCTCCCCCCCGGCACCAGCAGTGCTGCTGGTGGCGCTGAAATGCAGACCCTTACCTGGGTAATGGGGAGGGGGGCTGCAGGCGAACATCACTCCCCACCCTTCTGTAATCTTCACGGGGTGCAGAGAATTCCTGCAAAACTAAACGTGCAAAGTGAAACCTGTCCGTGGAGGGAAAACGAAAAGCTGGAGGAATGACTGTATTTTATCTCCCCCTTCTCAGGCTGGTCTTTTCAGTGGTTGTACAGAGGGAGACCAAAAATATTACTGACTTTCTCTTCAGTGCCTCAGATTTCTACGACACCTCCGTGCTAGTGGAAAGCTCTGGGGCTTTTCTCTGAGTGACGCTGTTGGGTACCACGTACGGGAGAGCTTCTCTCCAACCTTAATTAATGTGGGCAGGGGGGCTCGGTTTACCCCCAGCGTAACTGTGGCTGCATTTCATTTACCTTGTGAAGACAAACTTACAGCCAAAGCGGAGGGAGGCTTCCCTGCTGACCACCGTGCCTCTGGAATTAGATGCCACACATTGGTAGGAGCCAGCATCCTTGGCTTTCACCGGGTTGCTTATCACTAGGTCGCCTGCAACCAGCCTGTAACGGGAATCTGGCTCCATCTTTATCTCCGTGCCGTTCATCTTCCACCTGCCAAGAGCAAGTGTGAAGGGTGAGCAGGGCAAATACTCCGTGCAACACTCGTGGTGCCTCACAGGAGGCTGTGCTTGTGTGTTTTTCCAGCTGAGGGGTGTTGGGATTTGAGTTAGATTTCAATTTGGCCTGTGACCTGGGAGGGATGGCACATCATGTGGGGACGAGGAGGCGTCAGGGGACGATTCCCATGTGTTAACACCTTGTTAGTGATTTTCTTTACATAAAAGTGGAGGACTGAAAGCAAAATTCTTGGTGGTGTGTCCCAGTGCCGGTACAGAGAGAGCAGGTCAGCTCACCTGTAGGTCGCGGGAGGACTGGCTCTTGCTCGGCAAGCCAGCGTGACTTTCTCTTCTGCGGAGCCTTCAGGGAAGAGGGTGTGGACAGGCTGCTCTTCAAACACCGGCCCGTAGTTCCTTGTGCTACTCTGTGCGTGGCACCAAACTGCAAGAGAGGGGAAACCTGCTTAGCGTAATTTAGCTTTTCCTAAAAATTCTCATTTTTAGTTTTGTAGGGCGTCCCTGGCAGCCTCAGAACCGCATCTAGAATAAAAGAAGGAGCAGCGTGAAAATCACAACCCATCTGTCACCACAGCCCAGCCCCAACCATGGCTTTGGGCAGATAGCGTGCGTTTCCCACTGGGCAGCTCGCACCATCTCCTCCGTGCCAGAGGGACCAGCCGTGCTTACAGCCGTGCAGGCGAAGGAGCAGTGACACGTGCCTCTTGGAAAGCCATGCGCAGATGAGACCGCATCTGGGAACCCCTGGATGTCCTCCTTGTCCCCAGCAGCGAGGACGTGCTGGAACCTCTGTACAAACTTTGGCTGGTTGGGTCCTCCTAAGTCTCTCCAGGACAAGGTTGGAGAGAGAACCTGGATTCTCGCAGTAAGTTCTCAGCTCTGCGGCTTCCTCCCTGCACACGCCTGGCAGATCCCCTCCGTCCCTGCATCCGCAGCAGCAGCTGTGCTTGGCGCCTCAAGCCTGCGCTTTGCTGGTGTGCGAGGCAATGCTGCAGGTCTCAGTTCTGCTTTTGAACTAACAGGAGGAGCGTGAAGCCTCCTCTGTAGTGTTCGGACACGGGTTTGGTTCCGAGCTTGCTGTCACGAGGATGGCTCAGGCATAGGCACAAGAGGAACACAAGAGCCTGCCCGCCTTCTCCTGCCCCGTGTCTGGGCCACCCTTTGGCCTGGAGATGATGTTCCACTGCGAAGGGCCGGCTGTCCCCAGCGAGTGACTGTGTCTCAGATCAATGGCAGGTGCTAGCAGACCCCTCCCACGCAGGCTTTATGGAAATGGCAGTGCGGGTACAAAGCCAAAGCTGCCTGGAAATCTCTTGACTGCAGAAGTGGCTAGTGGGATAATGATCACCAGCATGTCCGTCCTCTCCTTGGCACCCTGGGAAATGCCAGTCCCTTAGCAGGGATGGAGCCTCCTCAAGGCCTTGTGCTCCCAGCACAGGCCCCTCTGCAGCAATAAGCTCGGAGAAGCTTAGCTAGCCCCGGGATCCTTCCATGCTTTGTAATTGAATTAATAACTGTCTTAAAACTGTCATGCCAACCAGCAATCTGCTTCCTTCCCCACAGTACACAGCATGGTCACTAGTTAAATTAAGTGACTCCAGTAAGTGTGATGTTTTATGCAAGAGTAACTTCCAGCAGGGAATGGCCGGCTCAGCTCTCCTGGGCTCGCGGGGAAGCAGCCCTTTACCTGTAGCTCCTGGGGCTCATCTCATGTTCCGGCTGCTCTTGCATGTGGAGATGGGGGTGGGACGGGGGAGAGGCTCCACTAATTGGCTCAGTGGGTTCAGAGCAGCTGTCGGCTGCTCCTGGTGTCCCAGCATCAGGCAATTACCCGGGCGCTGGGCTCCGGCAGCGGGGATGCGCTGCTGCAAGGGAGCAGCCTGATGGTCCCTGGTCTCGCATGGGGGGAGCGGCTCTAATACTTTGGACTTAGAGAAAACCAGCCTTTTTTAGGGTCGTCTTCCCTCCAAATCAGCGTAGATGCCATTTTCCTTCTAGAATAGTTACATTCACAAAGGAGAAGCTTGTGCAAGCTGGAATTCTTCTCTCGGTTGGGTCAGCAATGGCTGTGCTGAGCTGGAAATGACTGTGCTGACCAGCAGGTAAAATAACCATGAGTTAATGGAGAATTAATAAGAAAGTAGTGTATTAGTTGTGTTCTGATAGGTGGTAGTGAATGGATTAAGGTTTAACAGCTTTACGTTTTGAGATTAATAGGTAGCATACGGTAAATAATCTCTATTTATTTAACAAATAAAATATATGTTATTAACACTGACATGCATACCTTTTCTCCATGGGATGCTCTTTCCCAATCAAGCCAAATTACGATAATCATCCCTTCTGATTCTACCCGGGGTCTGCACCCCGTTGCTATCTGCTGCTGTCCCTTTTTCTCTGCCAAGGTTATGGACGACAACTGTCAGGCATTGATTTTCTCAAATGTAATCAATGCCAGAAGTTTGGATGGGTTTTTGTCTACCGTTCCAAGGTGTCTGGTTGGTGTTGGAGGTGAAATGCCTGGATCTCACTCATTAAGCAAAACAGCAGTTAGATTAAAGTAATAATTAACCAGTTACAAGATTGGGATATGGTTACAACTGAGAATTGAGAGCAAAGCAGAGTGGTAAATCTCAGTTCTCTGGGCTACTGCTGTCACCCCAGAACTCTCATTTTTATTGTTACAAAAATAGGCACCTTCCTTGGGCTCTGTCATTTGGAGAGAGAGGAGAAAACACACCCAAAATACAGGTCTTACAGCCTGCAAGCCAAATTTGCAAGAAGCAGAGTGACCTGCTCAGAACTGGGCATGCCTTAGGCAGCCTTACTTTCTGTGTTAAAATCCAGCTAGGGGAGCAGAAATTACAGTGAATGTGCTGTTGCGCCTCTCCAGAACAACATTTGTTATCAGGAAAAGTAAGTATCGACACCAAAATAAATAGGAATAGGTGAAAGTGGAGCAGGGAGGCGCCTGCTGGTGCCTCCCTGGGGCAGTGACGCTGGCCCATTTCTGGCAGGGTGGTTTGGCATTATTATTAGTTGGAATATGCTGAAAGTCAGACCTGGAAAGCCCAGGTGTCCAGGATGCCCAACGCTTTCCCTTTGTGCTGAGCCCCGGACAAGCTTTGGAGACCAGGAAATGATCAGTGTCTCAGTTGAATGTTTTCCAAGATGTATTCCGGTGTACGAGGACATCAGCAGCAATCCTTTTATTGAGCTCAGGCAGCGTAGCCGTGGCTCCGAAGCGCTGACCGCAGCCTGAAGCCTTGGCACATGGGGGAGCTGGGCAATTAATTGGTTTTATAGGAAATCTGAGCACACACACACACACACGTGCACAAAATCAAAGTGGTTATTTTTAAAGGGCAGCTCTCTGAGGAACAGAGGGTTATTTTTAATGAGAAGCTTTCTGAGGAACAAAGGGACAGTGCTTGGCTAGCCTCAGATTTTAAGATTTTCCGCACTTTTTACTGAATGAAGAAAGGCCAGAGAGATTTCTAGACTTCCCTGACAGCCTTGTTCATTAGAGTTGTCTCTGTGCGCTTCGTAAGCTTTAAATCTTCTGGGAAGTCATCCTTCCGGTGGTATGGCCGAGGGAGGGGCAGCGCTGCCAGCCCAGCTTTCAAGGGCTGGAGCCAACAGCTCAGACCTGGAGGCTTTGGGTCTTCTCCCACTCTGGAGTGTTTCCTTCAGCCACATCTCTAGCTGGCATTATGATGACCCTGGTCCCTTGCTCATGTTCCCAGTGAGGCTTTCGCTCTGTCCCAGCTAGCTCCCAAGATCCATTGCATCACTGCCCAAAGGTCAAGAAAAAATGACCCTCCCGAGGCTTTACGGGGAGTCATTTTTTCTGGGCTCAGCTTGGATGGGGAGCAAGTTGCACGAACTCAGCTGGTTAATGGGAGAGCCCAATTCCATCTTCCTGCCTCTACCAGATTTGGGTCAGACCAATTTCCAAACGGGCTAATTGCCTCCCAATCTAGGGCAGCCACCCCTCCTTCTGCCTCCTTGGGGACCCAGAGAACATTAAAAGGTAATTAGATATTTATAAGGACAGGCGAGCAGTCTCTGCCTGGGATGATGAATTAGCCTGACGACATTATCTAATTCTCAGTTGTCTGAAATGAAATGTCTCCCTGCTGAAAAGGGACCTTCAGAGTGCAGCCTGAGACTCCCTGAGATCCTGAAATGGTCCCCGATGAACGGGGGAATCTTTGCAGTCAGCGTATGGCCAAAAAGGCATCCCTAGAAAACCCGGAGGCGAAGCGGCTCTGCCATGAGCTTGCGCCGAGGCCGGGACGAGCCTGGGCAGCTCGGGGTGCAGAGAGGTTCTGCTCCTGCCAGGGCTGTGCCTGAGGATCTACATCTCCTGCATTTCACCTAAATTTGAATTTAGAAGGGGGGAGACTTGTGTGTCAACCATTCCTGTCATTGTTCTTGGGCGGGCGTAGCACGGACACATCCCCTGGTTGCAGAAACCGCCCGGGAGAATCGGGGGGCTCTGCATCGCTGCAGCCAGAGAAGCCCCGTGCAGAGTGTGGGGGGGTGTCCCCCCCCAGAAACCCCCGGGCCCGAGAAGCGAGGGGCTGCTCTTACCCAGAAAGGTGAGGAGAGCTAGGGATGTGCCGACAAATCCAGCGGTGCCTCCCATCCTGCGCCTCCGGCCGGGTTACGGCCCCCGCGGGGGAGCCTCTGCGGGCAAGGGGGGACAGCAGCCCTGGAGAGAGAGAGAGAGAGGGGAGTTATCTGCAGCGTTTCTGTGGCTCCGCTCGAGGGTCCGGCATCCGGCTGCACATCCCCGCTGGCCACGGGTCCGGGTGAGAGTCGCTCAGGAGCAAACATCCGGCTGCCCGGTGAGGGACACAGGGATTTCAGGAGCTTTCTTTCTGATACGACAGATCTGCTGGGGAAATTGTCATTCCTCCCTTACTCCCTGCTTTTCTTCCTCCGTCCTCCAAAACCAGCGCTTCCTTCCCGGCGTCTTTTATTAAAAAACCACAAAGCCAGAAGCACACAGGGTATTGGTAGGGGGGAGGAGGAAGAAATAATAATTTGTACTTGTTCTTTTGTGAAACAGGCATCTTAACTGAAACTCCTCAGGCGGGCAGCGGCTGCTTTTGGGTGTCGCGTCCCTTGTTCGGGAGAGGCAGCTGGTGGCCCTGCACCGCGTCCCGGCAGCAGGGCACCCGCACCGAGCTCACCCTTGCCGGGCCGCATGGGGAGGTCTCCGTGGGCTGTGCCTGCTGGGTCATTTCCTGGTCTTCTTCCAGGTTTAATGCGTGTGAATAGTTAATCGGGACATATTGGAGCGCCAAGGCATTTCCTGATGCCGTGACACACGTTAGTAGGTGGAGCCGTGTTTTCCACTCCTCTCCACAGTCTCCGGTTCTCCAAGATCTCTCCAAAGGAGAACAACCCAAACCAAACGCAGAGGTGTTTGTGCAGACCCTGGTCCCTCCTGGCCAAACGTACAGCGGGACCAGCTTCAGCCCACGCACCTCTTTCCTTGTAACTGATGGGGATGTTGGGCTGGTTTGGGGTTCCCCCCCACTTCTTTGTTAACTAACGCTTTTGAAATAATGCACCAAGCAGCCCCCCAGCCCAGCGGAGCCCCCCAAACCCGCACCCCGGTGAGCTGCTGCTGGCGGCGCTGCCAAGAGCCGGGCTGCTCGTGGGCTGCGAGCGCTGCTTATCCCTCTGCTCCAGCTGGTCCTGCTTCCACTCCTCTCCCAGCCCATCTGTCTGCCTGAGCAGGCAGCGCTGCTCCTAAGCTCCTCCGAGCAGGGATTAGCTGTCTGTCCCGTGGGATGCAGCTCCCGGTGCATCGCTGCTTTAACAAGCTGCCCTGGGAAGGCACCTGAGCAAACAGCGATAGTCCCGTGTTTGCTCCACGTCCTGCCTCGGGGGACCCTGGCTGGGTGGAAGAGCCACCTGGCTTCCGTGTCCTCGCCACAAAGAGAGGGTTTTCCTACCAGCACATGAAAGGGAGGAGACCCCATCCCAAACCCTCCTCAATTTTTATCTTATAGAATCATTCGTAGAATCTTTTAGGTTGGAAAAGACCTTTAAGACGGTCAAATCCAACCATTAACCTAAAACTGCTAATTCCAACACTAATGACAAGAAAGCTGGGGGGGACTTTTTCCAAGGGCACGGAGTGACAGGACAAGGGGTAACGGGTTTAAATGGAAAGAGGGAGATTGAGATGGGACATCGGGAAGGAATTCTTCCCGCAGAGGGTGGGGGCACTGGGACAGGTTGCCCAGAGAAGCTGTGGATGCCCCATCCCTGGAAGTGTCCAAGGCCAGGCTGGATGAGGCTTGGAGCAACCTGGTCTAGTGGAAGGTGTCCCTGCCCATGGCAGGGGGGTTGGAACTAGATGATCTTTAAGGTCCCTTCCAGCCCAAACCATTCCATCATTCCATAAACGATGTCTGGCTTGGCTCGGAGGGCTGGATCCCAGGCTCCCGGCGCAGCGCGAGGAGAGCCCAGCCTGCCTGCCCTTAGCCAGCTCATACCCTCGGTAAATACTGTTTATACGCCAGGCCCCTAAATAATGCTGGTGCGGCCGGGGGAGGAGGGACCCCTGCCATAGCGAAACGAGGGCGTGCAGTGGGAGGGGGCTGAGCCGAGGCGATTCGGGGACAAAGCGGAGAAGGGCGTGAGACGCATTTACATGGAAGCAGCTCCCCGCAGCGTGTTCCGGCAGCCCTGAAGTGAGTCAGTCACATGAAATCACTTGATGTCAACGAGAATCATGCCCCAAATGGTGTCCTGAACCCACGGCCTTTCAGCTAACACTGCCTCATTGTTCCCCTGCCTTCACCCTCTGCCTGCCTCTCTCGTGTGCCTTGTGCTCGCGTCGTAAGCACTTTGGGACAAGGAGCAGCCTATTGCTCGGGCTGTTGTGCAGGCAGCACTGCGATGTGGGCTTGTGGGCAACGCCAGCGCCGCACTGATTAATAAGTTGACTTTTCCAAGTCTCTGCAGTTTGGTTTCTTCACCAGCGTCTTCCAGCGCCTGGGGTTTGTGAAAGGCAGCGAGCATCCAAGCTCTTCCTACACCCAGCGGTAGCACATTAAAGTAAAAGTCTTGCTCCGTCGCCGTCAACCCTGTTTTCTCTGCCCCCAGAGCTGCCCACAAAGGTGCTGCCCGGCTGCAGCTTTGCATCTTCAATTCATTTTTTTCCTGTCATTTTTAAATAGAGTGTGTGAAAGTTGGATTTTGTTATTTTTAATAAGGAGCAGGGGCAGCGTGAGGAGATCTGGGGGTACGGTGCTGACCATCCGCCCTCCCCGGGAGGCTGGAGGCTCCTCCGAGCTGCTCCTGCCCCTCTGCCGCCTTTCTGGTTTTATCAGCACTTCACACTTTCCGCTGTGTGGAACAGAGATGCTGCATCTGAGGGAGAGCAGATCGCATCCTGCCTCTCCTGGGTAATGCTGCCTGAACAAACAGTGGTCCCAAGGGCTGAGCTGCGAGCTGGTCAGGAGGGAGAGGGGGGTGAGCAGCCGTGCCCTCTGCGGGAATACTTCTGCCAGTGACCCCCTTCGGCTTCCTTCCTGGCGGTCAAGCAAAGCTGGTACCTTGTAAAAATTAAGCTGATTTGAATTATTTAATTAGTTATTGATTCATTATTTATGATGTAAACTACAGCTTTGATGCCGGCTCCAGCTCTGCAGCTTCCCTCTTTCCACCCCAACCTCCACATCTGCTCTGATCCTTAATGTTCACATCATTTTCTCTTCTGACTGCCTTGTGTCCATCCTCTCCGGTGCTCCGAGCCCGAACTCACACACAGCGCCGTGTGTTTGCTCCCAAAACACTTGGGACCAAAGGTGAGAGCTGGGGTGCTGCTGCTGTGCGTGGGGAGGCTGGTGCGGGGGAGATGCTGCTCTCCTGCTCTTTTGAATCCAGCCTCATCCCAGCTCGTGCTTTAACTCCTTCATAAAAAATCAGGAGTGTGGTCATCAGGGAAAGCTCCAGGTACGACCCACAACAAACGAACACTTAGGAGAGTAACAGAGTAATTTCTACAAGTGCTGACGCTGTGTTTGTTCGCAATTAGAGCCTGGATGAAATAATCCTCTCTCGCATACTGTTTGGTTGCTGATTGTCTTATCACCTCAGTGCCAGGATCAGATGATGCCCGAGGGCCTGAAGCTGTGAGATCGCACCTGGGGCTGCGCTGGGACCCTGGGGGCATCTTAAAGCCACGACCCTCGAGCCAGGCATCCTGCATCTGACTCTGAACTTCTCCGAAGCGTGAGCATGCGCTTTGCATCTGATAGTTAGGCCTGTTCTCCATCCTTAATTAGAAGGGGACCCGTGGGGACCTGTTCTTTCCCCTCTTCCTAGGGTATTTTGACAGTCACTCGAGAGCCTTCTGTTGTACTGAAAGGGGATCTGTCATCCCTGCTAATGGATGCTGTCATTAATACTTCCAGTAGCAAGGGAGGCATGGGCACACTCGAAAACCTGTGCATTAGCCCTTTCCTCTGGAGCCCTTGGGAGCTGGGAGCAATCCATATCACGGAGGCAGAGTTAAAGAGAGACTCTGAGTCCTCCTGAGCTTCTGGGAGGGGAGATGCTGCCTTGTCCCGCGCCCGCAGCTCCAGTTCTGCATGTGGAGCAGCATCACTTGGAGGAGCTGACTCTGGCAGGACCCTGGGCGTGGGGTGAGAGCACCAGAAACGGCTTTTGGTAGGAGATGGGCTTTAGCAAGAGGGGACCTGGGCAGCACGGGCAAAGTGCAATCTGCTACTGGGATAAGTGGGTGTAATTCAATCTCCTGTTAGGTGATGAGATGAGCAGTTGCATCTAAGTGGGGCAGCTCCTTCGGCTGCAGCATTCCTTGGGGAAGGATTGCTCCTGAGGGTGCGTGATGAAGGAATTGGTCCTGTGCTGTGAGTGTCCCTTTCATGAAGGATGGAAAGGGCAGGCTTTTGATCTTTGCTGGATTTTGGCTTGCAAAACCTGCTGTAGGTTAGGTACACTTTGTCCATCTCCAGAACAGCGTGTTTCAATGAGTGCAAATGGTTTTATTGTAATGTATCTGTCCTCCTGTAAAACTGCCTGTGCTCGGGAGAGGCTGATTGAGATGCAGACTCTGGGTTCAGCCTTCCCTGAGCTTCTTTGTGTTCAGCTCTGTTGGCGTCTCCAGGACTTGCAGCAGAAAACTTGGGATCACCTTAAAAACGTCCTAAGCAGTGAAACCTCCAAGGACCAAATGGGGACTGATCACTTTGATACCTGTCCCCAGCCGTGGCAGAAATGAGGTGTGTCCCATAAACACTTCTGGCAGTAGCTGGGGGGTCCTGCATGCCCTCTCTCCTTCCTTGGGTGGGTTTGGGTCATTCTTGGCCTGTTAGAAAAGTCCCAAAGGCTCTGCCCTTGCAGAGATTTGAAGGCAGAGCCCTTCTCTGCTGTGCTGGCTGAGGGAGAGGATCAGCATCAGCTGCTCTCCTGGCTCTCGCTACACCCACCTGTCCCCCATCCTGCCCCATCAGCCGCACTCGGAGCGGAGCCCACGGGGTGGCTGGTGTCACTGCTGCCGGGCACATCCACCTCCCCTGGGCTCCCCGCTCCCTGTCTGCACCCCAGCATTGCCCCGAGGAGCCAGGCAGCGTGCGGGGACAGTGTGGGGACCTGGAGG